ATGAACAGATCCCAGGCTCTGCTCTCCTTTTTTTTTTTTTTTTTTTTTTTTTACAAATAGTTTATTGTCAGGTTGGTTTCCATATAACACCCAGTGCTCTCCTTTTTTAAAGAGCCAGAGATCTAGAGGGTGATCCCGGCGAGAACACTAGCAGTAACAATAGTATGCAGTCTGCATGAGGGGAGAGGTTTAAGGTATCCCGTATGGATGAAATTCTGTTCTGTTGAACAATATCTGTTGAGAAATAGGGTCCACAGTACTCTACTTTCCAGAAGCTGCTGTTCCTTTATGGTGCACCAAGTCTTCAAAAATATCTGGTTTTTCCCTTTGCCTGTTAAACTTAGCCATAATCCATTAAAAAGAGCTGGTCACAAACTTAGCAGGATTCTTCATGTATGTCACGATAATAATCAGGCCATGCTTCTAGTATTCTACCAGGTGCTTTAACTTCGCCTGGTGTTTTAAAATGATGCTACGAAAGTGATAATTCCAGCACTAATGGTACTATCACTTACTGACCATGTGTCCAATGCCCCAGGCACTTTTCACAGGCCTCATAGAGAGATCTGAAGGCCAGAGGGGGCTTTTTACCTTACCCCGGGCCATTAGTACCTCCTTTGGGCCTATGTCCCCCAGATGTCTGTTCCCCCAGTGAACTTGCATCATTTTTGCCTGCCCCACCTCCGTTCTCCCCTCTTCTGGTGTCCTCACTCTCCTTTGTTAGGGACAGACCATCCAGTTTTCCATCATTCTTTGGCCAAAACCTAGTGCCTCAAACTAGACTCAACAGACATTCCCTTCCCTTAAATCTGAATCTTCAGGAGCTCCCCCGGTGCTCATTCAGCCTCGTAGCCGACTTGTGAGGTGACTTCCCAGTAGGCCCCACTCTGCTTACATTCACACAGTTGATTACTGTGGCTGGCAACCAAAGAACTATAACGCAAGCTGTCGTTAATTGCAGCCTGGTACAGTCTTATCATTCCTTCGTTCCAAAGACGACAATCTGATGCTGTCTGGAGCTCACGGATTCTGCTCAGCACTCTGTGGAAAGAGGATGGACTCCGACGCCAGGGCTGTGGACCGTGGGACGCTGGAGAAAGCAACTGCCTGACAAACAGCAAACGTGCCAAATGAGTGCTTTCAGAGAAACAAGGGTTGCCTGCACAATATTGATTGTAGGCCCACTAATGGTTCAGGCTGTGAGGCTGGGCGTGACAGCTCAGCCTCGCTCAGTGCAGTAATATACCGCCAAGTCAGGCCTATTTTCCGGTGTCAGCAGGGAAATGGGAGACTATTAAGGACGCACCTTATCAGGAACTGAGCTCAGTGTCACTGGGGAGACAGTGGCAATTAGCATGATGGAAGCCGTGAGGCAGCCCCAGCTCCGGGCCAGGTGCGGAAGAAATTAGTAGGAAGCCTCTTAACTGACGGGTCAGCTCAGGCTCCAGCAGGGCGAGAGCCTCTAGCAAATGCTGATGCTCCCTTTTCTCTGGCCGGGAAGACCCCCGCCCCTTCTGGTTGCCTTTTGATCTGCTCTCTGCACACACATTTGCTGGTGGACGTCCATCCACTCTACCTGCCCCAATTACAAAATTCTCTCACACGTGAGTGGAGCTCTCTCATTTATTCTATCAGGCAGGCAGTAGAGTCAAGGGCCCAAGCTTTGGAGACCGGTGTGTCTGGGGTAAATGGGGGAATAAGTCAGGTGCTATCTTTCTCTCTGGGGCTCTTGAGCTGGAGGGAGCCATGAATGAGTGTGTGAGGGGCCTTCTTCTTTTGAAGAAATTCCCACCCAAGTGTCACCACTTCCCCGCTCCCATCCAAAACACACACGAAGGTAAAGGAAATAGATGTGGCCTGTAAGCTAGGAGACCCATTTCCTGCTCTGCATGGGTTTGACGTGTGGCCTCAGAACATTGCATCTCTGAGCTCCAGTTTTTTCAACTATGAACGGGTCATAATCCCAGGGTTGTGGGATTGAGCCCCAAGTCGGGCTCTGTGCCAAGCATGGAACCTGGATGAGATTCTCTTTCTCCCTCTCTCTGCCCTGATCCCCCACTCACACTCTCTCTCTCTCTCTAAAAAATTTTTAAGTGTATTTATGGCGAGAGAGAGAGAGAGAGATGGGAGGGGCAGAGAGAGAGAATCCCAAGCAGCCTCCACCCCGTCCGTGCAGAGCCCAATGCAGGGCTTGAACCCACAAACCCTGAGATCGCGACCCAAGCTGAAACCAAGAGTCAGACACCTAATCGACTGAGCCACCCAAGTGCCCCCCTTCTCTAAAATTTAAAAAAATAAAAGTGAGGCAATTACTAGATGATCTCTGAGTTAGTTCAGGTCCTCCAAGAAGCAGATGTCAAGAGGAGTTGACTGTACTAGGGTGTTCTGAAGAGCTTCTGTGAGAGAAAATGCGGAGGAAGGTGAGAAGGGCTGGCAGAGCCCTCAGACTCGGATGCTCGTTTGGCTCTGAATCAAGAAGAGAGAGAAGGACGCTTACGTGGAAGGATCTCAGACTAAAGAAAGTTTAGCAAGGCCACCGGAGAGTCCTTGAGCCAAAGACGGCTGTCACAGGAGTCCAGTGTCTCCCAGGGACAGGTCTGCCCAGCATCTGTGCTGTTCTCTGGGAGCAGCCGGGAGGAAGTGTGGCCTTGGAGGAAACACAGTGATGGATTTCAGAGCAAGCAGCTGCGGCCTCCTGTGGTGGGACGTCTGTGAGGTATATTCTTTTGGTCACAATAAAGCACCCTGTAGGCTCTGTGCTGCCATGTTCTAGAACCCTAGAGACAGGCCAGCAGACCCAGACCCATGTCACCCCGAGGGGGTCTGGCTGGGCGTTGTGGAGAGCAGCTGCTCTCGGGCACTCCCTGAAGCAAAGCTGGCAGGATGTTTGTGTGTTGGGATCAAATGCTTCCTGTCTCTCCTATTTTTGGCCTTGCTTTGGTCTTCAGAGAAGGGAAGTGAGGGCTCCAGTTTCCCTGTTGTCATCTTTGTTTGAAGGAAAGCCAAACAAAAGAGGCCCTGCCCTGATTACGTCTGTCTTGCCTTTCCTGGGTCCCCCCAAGCTTGGACCCTCCGTGCACATGCCCACACGTCCATACATGGGAAGCTGTATGCCTTTGAGTTCTGGATGAGTCTGGGCTCAGAAAAACCTAGATATGAGTTTCAGTTCCGCCTCTTCCTGGCTGCGTAACCCTGGGCGAATGACCACCTCGTTGAGCCCTGACGTTCTTATCTATAAAAGGAGGGAAACCATACCAACCTCTTAGGTATGGTTAAATAAGCCAATGGGGTGTCTGAGTGGCTCAGTTGGTTTAAGCGTCCGACTCTTGATTTCAGCTCAGATCATGATCTCACGGTTCATGAGTTCAAGCCCCACATAGGGCTCTGTGCTGGCAGTATGGAACCTACTTGGGATTCTCTCTCTCCCTCTCTCTTTGCCCCTCCCTTGCACACTCTCTCTGGCTCAAAATAAATAAAACTTAAAGAATTAAATAAGGCAAGGCACATAAAGTCTTTAGCACATTGCGGCACCTACTACCTGCTTGATAAATGACACTTATTAGTGGTGTCACTTACTAAACACCTACTATCAGTATCTTTATTATCGCCCTCAATATTATCTTCTGGTGAGAGACGCTAAGGTCTCAGAAATTCGTCCTGTCCCCAAGAAGCACGCAGATTATGGGCAAGGACATGTAGAAAGCCACACCGAGATTAGCTGCTAGCCTGTGGGGCTGGCTTGGGAAGTTTGTTACAATCAGGGCTGTCTCGTTCATTTCACAACTTTTACAGGACTTCCCTCTCCTGTCTGTGCATCTGGTTTCCGGAGCTTGCAGGCAAGATCTTAGACCCAACACACCATAATGTGTAGAGATGGTGATCCTGGCTTGCAGAGTACATGCTCCAGTCACGAAAGAACTGGAAAGAGGAGTGCTGGTCGAAGGTGATGACAGACAAAGCAGAAGGAAGAGGTGGGCTGGCAAGGCCAAGTGATGAAGGGCCTTGTAAACTGTATTAAGGAATTGGACTTGATCCTGAGGGCAATGGCGGTGCCCTTGATGGGTTTCAAGCAGGAGAGCCATGTAATCAGATTTGTCTGATGGCTTCAGAACAATTTACCCAGGTTAGCCCCCCCTTCCCTGGGGAAAACCTACGCCCCAGAGAGGAAAATATGAAGAGAAAGGATTGGAATTGCACACGCCCCTTAAAAGCACTGCCCGCTCAAACTTTCCCTGACCCGTCCTCATCTGAACAAAGGCCCCGCGGCCAGCTGGAGAGGAGCCGTGTTGATTACTCACAATTCCCTTCCCGAGAGGACAGGCGCTGATGTGTTTTCTCTCGATAACACTGGCTCCTTTCGAGCAATAGGACTTCCTGTCTGATGGGAGAGCAATTACTGTACCTCCAAAGAGAAAATGCTTTAAACAAATCTAGTTTTAGCCCTCCATGATAAGGGAGATGTTTGCTCACAGATCCACCATTAGCCCCGAGTTTAAGGAAGAGCGGCCACTTAGGACTCCCAGCGACCAGAATGACATCTCCAGGTCTGTTTGGTAAAAGATCCCGGTGGCCAAAGGGAAAGGGGATCTTTCCCCCCAGGGAACCTGCTCCCTCCAACACCAGCCTGGGCCTGGAGCTCCTGGCTTTCCTGCTCCCCACCCCCCAGAGGGGGCCAGGGGCCTATGAAGATCACTGCTAAGATTTAATCAACTCAGGGCACGCCCAAGCTGATCCAGTCAAATGAGGTGCCCCTTGGTCTGTTTCCATTAGCAGATCATGAGGGAATCTGCATGAAGACAAACTGCTCCCCAACAGGCATCAGTAAAAACTGCCTTGTTTCGTGCATTGGGAGAACATGAAAACCAAAGACGCCACCCTTCAATGAGCACGCCAACCAGAGACATTCGTTGTTTTCACTATCTTTCCAGGATCAGCTGGAATACGCCTGACCCCTTGCTCGCCATTGCAATAGCATTAGTTACACTCGTGTAGCACTTGCAATGTGGCAGGCCCTGCTCTAAGTGCCGGACATGGACTCATGTGCAGTCGGTGTAGGTCTCCCAAGGACCCTCTGCCACAGGTACTATTATTATTCTCAATTCTTAAAATGACATAACTGGGGCATATCCCAGAACTGAGGACATATTATGGTATAGCAAAGGCAGGGATTAAGTTTACAGATGAAATTAAGGTTGCTAATCAACTGACCTTGAGATAGGGAGTGTGTCCTGGATGATCCGTCTGGGCCCAATGTGGTCACAGTGAGAGTCAGGGTCAAGTTTGAAGAGGCAACACTGCTGGCTTTGAAGGTGGAGGAAGAGACCTAGGAGCCAAGGGATTCAGGGGGCCTCTAGGTTCTCCCCTAGAGCCTCTAGAAGGAATGTCACCCTCTAACATGATGGTTTTAGACCCTTGAGACCCATTTCAGGCCTCGGAGCTCCAGAACAGGAAGATAATAAATTGGTAGTGTTTTAAGCCATTAAGTTTGTAGTCATTTGTGACAGCAGCCACAGGAAATGAACACACTAGTACTGAGTGTACAGTCGTAAACACAATAAACATGGTCTCTGCCCTTAAGAGCTTGCTGGATATTGCCAGTGTTTGCGGACTCCTGGGTTTGGTCAGCAGTTCCTAAAGCACATTAGGCAGTGGGAGCTCTGCTTTTGCTGGAGCCCAGGGCTGGCAAGAGAGCTGAGTGCCCTCCTTGGCCTATTTAACTTACCTCCTTTGACTTAATAGAAAATATTAAGTATTTTCTAGTATTTGGGACTATAGTAGGTGTTTTGCATATAGACCTAATTTCATCCCGGCCACAGCCCTCTGAGAGATATTTTTATCCCCATTTACCAGATGAAGAAACTGAGGCTCTGAGAGGAAAAATGACTTTCCTAAGAGCACGCCACGAGTAAGTGGCAGGTGTGAACCCAAGACATCTGACTCTAAACCATCCCCGCTGTCAGCCCCCCAGCTTCTGTTCCATCCTTGATGCCGGCTTGCCCGCCCCACCACCCCCACCCTCATTCACATCTGAAGGCAGTTGCAGGGCCCACTCATGGATTCCAGTAATAGGGCGGAGCCCCCGTTTCGGGCAAACGCTGTTCCTATGCATGAACACAAAGGGGTGTTTTTCAGACAGAACCCTGGTGGAGGCTGAGATAAGGGTGGTTCAGGACAGCTCACGAGGGGCTGTTCGGGATAAAAACCCTTGGCAGACGGAGTGGACTAGGGCAGCACCGTGTGGAATCAGAGACTACGTGCCAAGCGCGGGGTGAGCAAGGGGTTCTGTTTCTTGGGGAGCTCTGGGCCCAGAAATGACCCTGAGGAAGCTGACACTCAGATCTGCCCCACCCCAGGCCTTCACATCTAGCCAGCCCTGTCCCTCCCGGCCGTGGCCTCTGAGGCTGCCGTGTCTCCACACGTGTTTCCACCACGTGAGGGCAACTTGAGCTGGCTCTCAGCAGACCGTTGCTTGGGAGGGGGTGGGTGTGTGTCATTATTGACAGCAACAACAGCAACAAAAATAACTGTCACAGCCACTATTTATTAAGTGCTTAAAAACATTAAAGTAATCTCATTTAAACCCTCATGACAATCATTTGGGGTGATCTTATTATCACCATTTTACAAAGAGGGAAACTGAGGCTCGAGAAGGGGACTTCCCAAGGCCACACAACCAGTAAACACAGAGCCTGCTCTCCCTTGTTCCAAAGCACATGCTGTCACAGAAGTCAGGGACACGCTTCCCACTGGGATCATTAATGAGGAGGCTGCCTGTCTCATTGCCTGCAAAGGAAGTGGGGAAGGAGTGGTCTCTGGCTGCTCCCATTTCTCAGGTGACCCTGTCTCTGATGAGGCTCGAAGCCACCACCTTGGCTGTGGAGACGGGATGCTCTGGCCAGCAAAGGGTGTGAGCCTGTGGGGCGAGCCGCACTATCGCACTGCCGAGTGGGGAGGAAGTGACTCAATCATCAAAGGCCTGGTCTTCCTCGGGGAACTGTCCCTAATCACAATTATCCCGCTACAATAATACCATTTCAGAGAGACTGTGAGCCGGGGCACTGTGTAGCCATGTAAACTGCTTCCTGTATCTGCCAAACCCAACAGCATTGGGCAATTAATAGAATCCAGCTAGGCCTCCCGCTCTGATAAGGCCGGAGCAGTTGTTGCCACTGGCCGTGTTGCTCTCCTGACGAATGGCCCTCGTGCTGCAAAGTCATTCTCTCTCCTCCCTGGCAGCGCGGGGCCACAGTGGCCTGGGGCCCCCACCAGGCCGAGGAGAGCCACGCACGTCCTATTTGATTTGGCATTTTGTGGAGATAAAAAATGATTTTCATTCTGCTGCTGAACAAAAGTCATGACCGTCGAGGCTACCCCAGGACCCTGGTGGCGAATTGACGGTTTGATTGAGCGGGACCCCTGCTGTCTAGAACAAGGACCCACAGACAAGAAAGCACTTCATGAGGCAGCTCAAGAGAAGAAGGAATTAGAAAAGGTTTAAATGGCACACCCTCTAGGTCATACCGGGGCTCTAGGGTTCTAAGAGCCTCAGATCCTTACAGTAAACTGCTTCGCAGGGCAGAGAGAAGGGCTTTAGGAAATGACCGGGCCCCACCCAAATGCTTCATGGCTCTTGGGATACAGTTGGGAGGCAACACTTCGTAGTTCCAGGGCCTCCCTGAATCTAGGGGTGAACGTGGTTTGGCAGACAATGGTGGCCCACGGGGCAGGCCTGACTGCTGCCCAGACCTCCAGGCCCTACGGGACGGAAGCATGTTAAACACCAAAACGTAAATTGGTGCAGTCACTATGGAAAACAGTATCAGAGATCAAAAAATTAAAAATACAATTCCACTCTGAGTATTTATCCAAAGGAAACAAAAACAGGAACGTGAAGATACGTATGCACCCCTGTGTTCATTGTAGTATCACTTACAATAGACAAGATATGGAAGCAACCTAAGTGTCCATCGATGCATGAATGGATACAGAAGATGTGTTATATGTGAGATATATATATGTTTATATGATATATGTTATATCTATTTATAATGGAATACTATTCAGCCATAAGAAAGAAGGAAATCTTGCCATTTGTGACAACATGGATGGACCCTGAAAAATAAGTCAGACAGAAAAGACAAACACTGTATGATCTCACTTATATGAGTAATCTAAACTCAAACAAACAAACAAAACAAAACTTATAGAAAATATATTGGTGGTTTCCAGAGTCAGGGGGTGGGGTGGGGGGTGGGCTACATGGGTGAATGGGGTTAAAAGGCACAAACTTTCAGTTATAAAATAAACAAGTCTTGGAGATGTAAGGCACAGTGTGACTATAGCTAATGAAACCGTACTGTATATTTAAAAACTGCTAAGAGTAGACCTTAAAAGTTCTCATCACAAGAAAAAAAATTCTGGGACACCTGGCTGGTTCAGTTGGTAGAACATGCAACTTTTGATCTTAAAGACGTGGGTTCAAGCCCCTGCATTGGGCGTAGAACTTAATTTAAAAGATGAATAAAAAGAAAATAATAATGAGAAAAAAAATCTGTAATTATATGTGATAATAGATGTAAGTAGATTTACTATGTCATTTCACAATATATACAAATAATCAAATCATTATTGTTGTGTGCCTGAAACTAATACAATATTATTATAGCATAAAATGTTAACTAAAATAATATGAACTTAACCAACAGAATGTTAACCCGTATAATAATGTCAACCACATCTCAATTAAAAGAAAAGCCGGCACTCTTCTGGTCTTCCCAGTTTCCTATTTTCTTCTTGGTGACCAGTACTCTCATTTTGTGTCAGTGGGTAGGGCGCACTCATTTTCTTGCAAAGGATCAGGTGTCTACATTCTCGGTGGTAAAGTTTAACTAATAAGTTTGTCTCGTCTGGAACCCTTAAGCCAAATTCCCGAGAAGTCTCGGCTCATCGAGTCGAAGGTGTGATTCATTCCTCAGGGGAGTGAAAGTGAGCTCCCTCACTTTCCTCCTCCCGAGAACAATGCAAATGAAGGCAGAGGGATTTTTGCCTGGGCAAGGTCAGAAAAACCTTTGAGGAGGAGGGAGTGAGGCCAGAGGATGTGGGTGTTTTAAAATTGGCTCTGCCTTTGCGGGAAGATTCTCTCCCAAGGTGACTTGCAAATTGTACTCAAATGTAGTAATTTCCCCCCCATTTGGGCATTTTGTGTTGTTAGTTGCTATTCTGTGTTGAGGCCCATTCTGATGAACTTTCTTGGGAGAAATTTCTTTTCATGGTCTCATAGTTTTTATGCTCTATTAGGAGGGAGACGGGAGGTAGCGAGGAGGCAGAGGTGAGCAGGGTGCTAGAGCAGAATGGGTAATCCTTTGGCAGTTAGGATATGAGGCCCAGCTCTGTACCTCCTAGCTGTGCAACCTTGGGCAAATTATTTAACTTCTCTCAGTGTCAGTCTCCTGATCTCTAACAGGGTGATAATTATAGGACTCAATGCCCAAGATTTGTTGTGAGGATTAAGTTCAGTCCTTGGTGCATGTAAGTGTTCAGCACCCACATATTGAGGTTTTAATGAATGACTTTTCATTGTTTTGTCATTTTAGATCATTTTTCTCCCCTACTCCCAGCATCCAGATCATTCTCACAAATAGCAGGCCTATGAAACATCCCTCAACCATACCCAGGCCAGTCTCAAACACCTCCAGAAACAGAAGACTCACTAGCGGACTCGGTGTCTCATTTCATTTTCAGAAAGTTCTGGTTGACAGATGTTTCTTCCTTTCATTGAGTCAAAGTTTGTCTCTCTGGGTACATCATTTGGTTCTTGCTGTGCTCTCCAGAACTGTAGGAAATTTAAGTCCAATCTATGTGCAAATGCTTCAAATATTTGAACAGAGTTGATACACCCTTTCTGAGACATCTCCACCTGGAAAGCTTGAGTCTTTTATGAGGCTGGAGACTCTCATCGGAACCCGTCTCCCACATATCACTCTCTCTCATGAAAGTGAGTTCAAAGAAACCAGAAGACTCATTCAGTTAGCTGGAACCACATGACAAGTTTCACGTCTTTTGTTACAGAGGTGAATCCCCATGTCTACAGCACCAGAACAGCGGGAGGTGGTTGATTAATGGGACCTGGCTCTAGATATCAAGTGCACCCCAATGTCCTGTGGCTGGCAGAGCATTTCCTTCACCAGAAGGACTGGAGGTAACTTTAAGAGCAAGATGACAGGGCCCCTCAGAAGTAGAGCTATGGCTCAGCCTCCCCAAGACCAGGCGGCAGGTTGGGCCAGATAACAGCTAGATAATGGCATCAAGGAGTCACAGGAAGGCCAGCACTAATCTCTCAGGCCATGTTGTGTGAGCATCTGGAATCTGGGCAAGGGATGCTCCAGTCTTTGAACCTCCTACTTCTTCCTCTGCACACAGCAGTTAGCTGTTTCAGAAGATAATAGTCAGTCTCATCTTTGCCACATCGAGTTCAAAGGGGTGGCTGATCTTGACTTTTAATTGCTAACTAATGAAGATTTTAATCCAAATCTCTCAGCCCAGTGACATACTGAACAATCATTACTATCACACATATTTTAGCCTCAAGTTACTTTGTCTAGTGTTTGGCACTGTTCTTCACTCTTACACTAATACCACACTCACAACACTTCTGACACTGGCTATGTGGGTTTATTCCCACACCAACCAATTCTTTCATACCAGCAAGGTTTTCTACAATTTAATTCACTTCTGACACTACCTCCGTGGAGATAGCATCCAAAGCCATAGGTTAAGGACTCAGTCCCACAAGACTGTCCCCATTTCAGATATCAATGGCAAGTCCTAGGTTGCCCCTGGTATCTATGCCCCTGGGACTTATGAAATGGGGTTCCTAGACCCCCTCTTTGGGTTTGATATTTTGCAAGACCAGCTCACAGAACTCAGGGACATATGTATTTATGTTTATTAGTTTATTATCTAATAAATAATATAATAAAGGATATAGATTAGTAGCCTGATGAAGGACAAGGTCCAGAAGGGTCCCAAGCACAGAGCTTTTGTCACTGTGGAGTTGGGGTGTGCCACCCTCCCTGCACATGGATGTGTTCACCATCCTAAAAGCTCTTTGAACTCTATTTTTTGGATTTTTATGGAGGCTTCAGCACATTGACATGATCAATCATTAGCTCAATCTCCAGTCTCTCTCCCTTCCCAGAGAATGAGAGATGGGGCTGGAAGTTTTAAGCTTCTAATTATGACTTGGTCTTTCTGGTGACCAGTCCCCATTCTGGGGCCCATCAAGAGTCACCTTATTACAGGGCACCTGGGTGGCTCAGTCTGTCAAGCGTCTGACTCTTATTTTAGCTCAAGTCATGATCTGACATTTTGTGAGTTTAAGCCCCACATCAGGCTCTGTGGTGGCAGCGTGGATCCTGCCTGGGTTTCTCTCTCTCCCTCACTCTCTACTCCTACCCCACTCATGCTCTCTCTCTCTCTCTCAAAAAAAAAAAAGTCTTTTAGAACAAAAGACATTCCTATCACCCCAGAAATTCCTAGGAACTTGGGGACTCTATGTCGAGAGCTGGGATCAAAAAACAAATATTAGGAGGAACTTGGGTGGCTCGGTGGGTTAAGCATCTGACTCTTGGTTTCGGCTCAGGTCATAATCTCATGGTTCATGAATTTGAGCCCTGCATCAGGCTCCATGCTGGCCTCATAGGGCCTACTTGGGATTCTCTCTGTCTCCCTCTCTCTCTGCCCCTCCTCTGCTTGTACTATCTCTTGCTCTCAAAATAAATGAACTTAAAAATTATTGAAAAAATATTTTAAATGTGGAAACTAATTTGACAATAAACTATTTGTAAAAAAAAATATTTTAAAAACACAAATATTAGAACAAAAGAAGTTTCTAGTACTCTTATCATTTAGGAAACTTTTAGGAGCTTGGTATCAGGAACCAGAGTCAGAGACTAATAAATATGTTTTCTGTTATTTCACATGCAGCCTGGGCACTTAGAAAGCATTTGTTCATTTGTTTATCCATCCATCCATTCATTCAACAACTTGGTTCTGAGCTCCAATCATGTGCCAAGGCACTGTGGTGCACATGGGACTCTAATGGTGAGCAAGACCAGACAGATTCCTTCTTGGCAGAGCTTAAGATCCAAGTGGTAGAGAGAGAGATTAATTAAATGATCATTAACATGTGCACAGGACAATAAACCACTCTAAATATTATAATGAAAAGAAACAAAGTTCTGAAGAAGCTGTTTATGAAGGATCTAACCTGGGTCTGCAGGAATCAGAAAAGGCCTGAGAATACATGGAGAGAGTGTATATCTGGTTTACTCTCCACCCTCCCCACTTCCCAGGGGCCTAGCATAGTTCTCAACACATAGTAGGTGTTTAATAAATGTTTGTGGATGCAGGAATGCATATATGAACTAACCATGTTGTTCTTGATTAAAGTGATAGACTGAATGGAGTTTTATATCTGGGTAGCTCTCTAGAGATTATGTGATGCTTTCACATGCATAACTTTGTGTCCCCAAATACCCTTGAGTAGTGGGAAAGATGGGTAGTATTCTCCGTGTTTGATGGGTAAAAGAAGGAGCGAAACTCAGTTGATGTCACAGGGAGGAAGTACAGTGACTAAAAACGTGCTCTTGAGTCTTGCTGTCCTGGGTTAAACCCCCTGTCTTATCAGTGGTGAGAGGCCTGTGAGCAAACACGGGGTACAACACCTTTGCCATGTTTTCCCTAGGCCTGGCATCCCCTGAATTAAAGTTCATGCTGGAGGGCTCCAAAGCGATGACTGTTTGAGGCTTTCTTTGGGGCTTGTGAGAACAGGGGCTTGCTTGTGGTCCACATGAATACAGTCTGAATCAGTGTCAGCTTCCCAAGAAGAAAGATGTTCTGTCTTCACCTTTGGTAAAAATCTCTCTAAACAATTCAACAAGTCATTATGAAAGGCACTGTGGGGCGCCTGGGTGGCTCAGTCGGTTAAGTGTCCGACTTCAGCTCAGGTCATGACCTCACGGTTCGTGAGTTCAACACAGATCCTGCGTCAGGCTCTGTGCCGACACCTTAGAACCTGGAGCCTGCTTCAGATTCTGTGTCTCCCTCCCTCTCTCTGCCCCTCCCCTGTTTGTGCTCTGTCTCTCTCTCAAAAATAAGTAAACATTTAAAAAATAAAAAGGCACTACACTGGTGTAAATATGCTTTCATATCTTAGTAAGAGGAACCACCTTCTAGAAATTTGTGTTTTAATAAAATTAATAACCACCACTACCAGTTATTGAACCCTCAGTATGTGCCAGTCAATGTGCTAAGTAGTTTACTTGTATTTACCCTCCCAACTCTGTGTGATTGGTAGTAGGACTACCTTACCCCCACTGTGATGCTTAATTTTTGTGTCAGCTTGAGTGTGGGTCAAACATTACTCTGGGTATATCTGTGCGGTTGTTTTGGATAAGATTAACATTTAAATTGGTAGACTAAGTAAAAGCACACTGTGTTCCTAAATGTGAGTGGGCCTCACCTAGTCAGCCAAAGGCCTGGCTAGAACAAAACGGTTGACCTTCCCACTAGTAGCTAAGAACTCCTCCTGCCTGACTTCCTTCAAGCTGGGACACTGATATTTTTCCAGCCTTTGGGCTGGAACACCATAGGCTCTGTCAGGTCTCCAGCTTGCTGAATGTACATCTTGGGATTTGTCAGCCTCCATAATCACAGGAGCCAATTCCTTATAATAAATCTCCTTTATCTATACATATCTATCTCTATATATCTCTATATCTGTATCTATGTCTCTCTAGATAGATAGATAGATAGATACAGGAGGCCACATATACATATACATATTATGTATTTACATACACACCCATACACACACACACACACATACACACACACACACATACACATATGTATCCTATTGATTCTGTTTCTCCAGAGAACTCTGACTAATACATCCCCTTGTGGTTAAAGAAAATGACACCCCAGCCCTTCCCCTTACTATTTCCCAAACTCATTCCAGCAAATTCCCTCCCAACCCCACAGCCTTGGGACCTGAAACCAAACATCCTTCTCTCTTCCCTAAATCTCCTTTATCTCCTGGATCTAAAGATCTGTCTTTGAACTCTCTTTGGATGCTCCTCCTCTCTTCATGCCTGCTGCTGATACCCAGATTCCAGATCCTCAACTTCTTCCATCTGGGGGGAGGCAGGGTGATAAGGCCTGAGAGGTTTTCAAGCCTGAGGACCCTCCTGCAATATACAGTCAAGATCTTCTCCAAAACTCAGCTCTTCTCCCTGCCCAGGCCCTTTTAGTCATCAGTGGTTTTAAGCATGAGGCCCAGGGCCTATAAGCTTTTATTGGGAGGGGGAGGGGGGCTGTCCCAGGATAATGTTTTAAGCCTAAAAAATATCTTATAATGGGTAACAAAATGTGAAAAAAAGAATTTCACTTAATAAGTGTTCCGCTGGTTAATTTGTTAAATTTTGGTATCTGTAAAAATTTCATCGCAATTGAAGAGAATTAAGTTAGTTTTTTATAACTTTGCACACATTTCTGAATATGCATAGTGATTATTATCCAGCCAACTGTAAAATAAAAGTGTTAAAAGAGAAACTGAGGTATATTAAAATTTTTTAGCTTATTTGAACAAAAAGTGATTCACACCAGACAGCCCCCAAAGTGCATAGGAGTGGTCTTCCTATAGGAGTTGGGACAGGACTTTACAGGGCAGGTGGGAAAACAAAGCGAGGAAACTATTTGACCAGAGCTTAAGTGGGTGCCTTATTGGAAAAGGATAGTTGGCTGCTTGTGACTGGTTGTCTTTGGATTTCGCTTTTGTAATGTTGAGGCATTTACAAGCTTAGGTTTTGGTTTGCTTACATGGATGGCTAAAGCATTAGAATAAGTCAGCCTAATAGCATCTTTGTTTAATTAGTTTAACAAATGTACCTGTAACCAAATAATTTCAGAAGTGACAATTATCAAAACCTTGTCTGCTTCTTCTATAGCAAAGTGTAGAAAGGGTATGCCTGGATCCTACAAGGCTCTTTTTTTTTTTTAAATGTTTTATTTATTTCTGAGAGAGAGAGAGAGAGAGAGCATGAGCAGGGGAGGGTCAGAGAGAGAGGGAGATACAGAATCTGAGGCAGGCTCCAGGCTCTGAGCTAGCTGTCAGCACAGAGCCTGACACGGGGCGCA